AAATCACAACAATTCTCGGAATTACCAGTTATAATTTTAGCTTAATTGCAACATTCAGAAATTGTTAAATGACCACTTGATGAGCATTAAATTTATACAAGAAGTGCGTGAGATTTAGTAAAACATGTACACTTTTGATTTCAAAATGAAGTCTCCTTGCCAAATGTATTACTGTGAAAGCCTACACAGTTCACAAATTAACTCATATAACTGAAGTGGGAAAACTTCTATTTGTCCTTACTAAACTTACTATGGATAGTCTTGTAAAGTAATTCTCAGTTATTAACTTCCTTATGCAGAAGAGAGAAGCAATGCATTCATAATTTCTTGTTTCATGTGGAATTGCAATGCAACTCGATGCGCAATAGTATTTATACGAATAAACCGAAAAATGAAGTCTTCCTAACCTTCTAAACAACTTGTTTTTGTTCCAATTCGGGTAATAAGTTTCTTTCACGTACGAGCCTAGGTTATGTCTTTGAAATCGGGATATCGTAGCAATTAAATCTTCCCTCAAAATAAAGGCCATTTGAAGCACAAGTTCACGACAATGCTACATAATATGATAATAGTGCTGATACTTTTTGTCTTAAAATAATAAGCTGACTGTTGTGAGTACATGAAAACTTAAATTAATGCTGAAATTGAGCTATGAATACCAACAACTAGCGAATCAATTAAGTTGGTAGCGTCTCAGTAAAAAGGTCGAATAAACCAGTATGATTCCATAAAAATTCAAAAATAATGCTTAAATTTTGACTTCCCTACCTTATTTAGTCCATCACATTGTGCAGATATCTGTGACAAGCAACATTTCCTGATACAAATGCTGCTGATGTAACACTGTTCAAGTATGTTATGCCACCGACATTATGTGAGACAGAAATTTTTTCAATGCAAAATGTCATTTAAAAAGCATGTAAAAAACGTAACTCGTTACTAAACCAACATAGCAACGGACGTGAACGCTACAATTAGTGGGGATATGCAATAAGGCCACTCGGATGAGTAGTGTTTAGACAGAAAGTCAAGATTTCTAAACAGGATAGATGACGTAGTGAAATTTGTATGCTTTGTTGTTACCAAGAAGGTTCAAGATTTACCAGTCTCTTCTTGTATTTTTACGGACGCGAACATAACTAGGCTAACTGTAAGTGGCAGGAAATATGGCATGAATTATCAATAGAAATTCAGATTAAACACCGGTTCAAATGACAGAAGTATTGAAATAAGTACAAAAAGCTCGTGAAATTTCCTTTAGATGGAATAAATTACAAGATATTGGGTTAAATGAAAATTTTAAGTTGTAATATACTTATTGCATGCCGATTTCATGCGGGCATGAAAATTCATGGTTTTCTATCTTTTCGTAGGGTGCAGCATTTTCTGGTGCTAGAAGCTTTTTGATATATGCACAGAATCGTCGCTCTGTTCCGGCGCAATATTCTTGCCATCTGTTAGATCAACACAAACGCGTGTGCGACCAGTTAATTCCCTAGGAACTGCAGTAGGCGAAGCTGAAAATTGCAGTACCGAACTCTGTTGTAAGCTTCACGGTTTCCATATAATTTTCGCCCAATAAGAGTGGTAGTTGTGTGCATTACACAAGTCCGGTAATCTTGGGAATCAATGTTTTCGCGCGATTTCAGAGCGAGCAAACAGTCTTCGCTTTTTTACCTAGGCAGCTGTCCATGTTATTCGCTTTCGTTACCACCAAATCCGATAAACCACACACAACTGAGCCATTCCATTCAGACCATTTATAACTTATTCATTTAGTTCTCACTGACCAAACTCCGGCTCCAGTCTATAGCTGAACTATACGCGCTCAGCAGAAAAATGGCAGTAAAAACTCTGCCTCAGTTTCATCAACTTTGCAAGACCTTCAACAGTGTTGATCGTCAAGTAATTTGGTAACTACTCCGAAACTATGGTATGCCTCAGATCTTTACCAGCCTTATCCATCAGTTGGCTATATGGCAGTGTTACGCGTCAGCTGATCCACAACGGGAAACTGAGTGAGGTGTTCGAAGTGAACACAGGAATAAGACAAGATAACTGCCTGTCATCACCAACGATGATATTCCTCATTATGGTGGACCGGATTGTGCATTAGACTGTGTGTTGTGAGTGAGAAGACAGGAATACACTGGACTACCGATGAGAAGACTCCAGAAGATCTGGATTTCGCACGTGGATGATTTATGTATAATGTCTACACTCAGTATGATGAACAAAATTCAGATTTTCAGCACATGTGTTATGCCTGTGAGTGCTTCTCCATTGGTCAGAGACTTCGCCAACGGGTGTCCCAAAGCATTTCCAACATGTTGTAGACATTTACCAACAAGCCGCCTTTGCTCCACACTGAATATCAAATGGCAGTAAGAAATTGTGGGAACGGACCGATCAAGGACCTATTGCTAGACACGTATATAAAAGGAACTGGAGACAGATCTAAACCACGCTGCAGAGCCCACTGGACTACATAACCTACTAGGTAATCCCTCGAGTGCAGCCCGAATTGGAATTAGGCAGTTAGGTGTCCGAGGCTGACATGGGAGAAGTCGTGCGTGGAGGAGATGAGAGACCATTGGTAGTCATGGAGCCAGCCAAAGAGGACTGCAAAGAAGGCGTAAAACAGAGACGGTCTTTTGAAGCCCTATATTCCACTTGGAACCCAACGGAACAATAGTCATATGATGAAATTCATTACAAGTCTTTTCCCGTACCAAAAGGTCTTCTTTGATGTGGCAAATACTTTCTTAATCACGTGGAATTTTTAAAATTTGACTGGGCCTACAAGGTGAATTACTATTTGAAGAATTCCATGATTACACCAACTACACAGTCCCCTCATATGCTTTAATCCATCATATATTTCAGCTGAATGATCTTTACACCACAGTTAGGAAACAATTTTTACATATTATGACATGAAGATATTCCTCAGAATCAATTGACTCACTGTAGGTTAATCGCAAATAAGGGCTCAAAACCTGGCACTAAGTTTAACACCAAGGATTTCGTCGTGGTACCAGAGCTTATAGTAATATATTCTACTTGGGCCTCCAAAACTGATGCACTTAATATTACGTATTGAGACCCAGAAACGCCACATTAGCATATGCAGTGTCAGCTTACAAACTGGTGCTAAGTAACATAGGAAGCGATGTACTGAAACAAGCACGACACAGGCGGGTTACCGGGCAAAAAGATCTACAAGTACTTGTTCTGATGCAATTAATGATGGTCACGAAACATGGTAAACCTCGCCTAGTTAGCTAGCTTGATAATTTTCTAGCTGGTCTCAAGCCCGAGTAAAGAGAGAGGGTTGGGCATAGGGCGAGCGACCTAACACCACTAAACCTATTAAGCCGCTAGAGAAACTTCACCACACAGAAAATACATTAAAAATACAAAAAATTCAAAAAACAATCTTATTCTTCTCTGGAATCGAGGGGGCTAAGTGACGCGAGCTGGTGAAAGCCTTCAGGGAGCCAATCAGCCAGCCAATGTGTCTCCTCTCGATGAAAGCAAGACTAAGAATGGGGACGCGGAATGTACGTACAATATACGGGACTGGGAAGGCAGCCCAAGTAGCAAACGAAGTGCGAAGATGTGCCATGGAAATGCCGGATATCTGCCAGAGCAGATGGAATGAATGTGGATTACCCAAATTGTCAACTGGAGAGTCGGTAATTTACTCCGGCCACCCGGACGACAGCCACTAGCACGCTGAGGAAGTGGCTATAGTGGTGCAGCCAGTGTCAACCAAAGAATGACATCACGCGCTCGGTCATCGCTCCAGTAGAATCCCTGTGGGTAGCGACTAAAGGGTCGTCCTAGGGTGACCTGGAAGAGATTGTGTGGGAAGGAGATGAGAGATTTTAAGTAATCGTGGTTCAACCTGAAGACGGCAGAAGATTGGACAAAGTGCAGATGTGTTGTCGAAGCCCTATGTTCCACCAGGAACTAAAGAGAATAATGGATAAAAATGCAGCATGGCGAACTTCATACTTCAGCTGTTGCATCAGTGAATGGGAGTTTCGGACTAGCTGGCTTGACTTTACTCTTTACTCCACCTTGCTAGCTTTTTGTGTTTCAGTGACATATTTACACAATCACATGAATTTCCAGCTCGATGGTCGTGAAAGTCTCCTGTTTATTGACCACCCTATCCCTCCTACCTCAAGCATTTTTAACGACAATAAATCTGATAAATGCGTGAGGGGTTATCCTCACTGTGGTTCCATGTGATCCTTTAGTATTTCGATTAATACTGGTAGCAATTTGTAGGGAGCACAGCATCTAACGTTCACTCCTTAACATTGCAATGAACTCACACTAAGTCACACCACTAGTAATCCACCAGCCTTAGGCAATTAATGGTATAGTCAACCGAAGCTACAACAACCAAGTGGTGGTACACAATATACAGTTTACTGAAGATCAGAAAGCTTTACTTCATAAGCGAGCCTAAAAGACCAGTTTGGTTTACACTAGCTCGTAAAAACGATATTGGAATACCTTCACTGTCCTAATTTTTATCCATCTTTGGCTGTCACAGCGCGATTAGTGTGCATCACCAAGTGGAGTAGTATACTTTTTGGGGGGTGCTAGAAGGAATTTAGCCACAGTAAATATCAGCGCTATCTATATGAGTTTCAGCTAATGATTTTCTATAACAGGTATTTTCATTTCTATCAAGAATTGTAACAATAAGTTGATTATGTGTAGATTTCTGGTAGTTTGTGTTGTATCAAATCAGAAGCTTGATCACCCTCATTTGTCCTCCAAAATTGGAAATAAATCTAACTTTATTTGGCCAAATCTGTAAGCCGGAAGCAGTAAAGAGAAATTACTTGATGGAACTACTGCAATGTAAGAGTAAACTTGAATATGATTATTCTGTAATATCGTAAAGTCAATATTTAACTATGTATTTAAGGGACTAACATGAGTTAAATAATATCTCTCTCACAGATGTGTTTTTATCAACTACTTCAATGCCGTTCACTTATCGAACTTATAAACACATATAGCGGTTATTCAAAAGCATAGCTTATTGTCGTAAAGAAAATGAAGAAGTCAGGTCAGAAAAGTCGTCTGTCAAGATTCAAGAGAGCTTTGTATAATCCAGAGAAACATGAATTCTTAGGAAGAACTTGCAGAGAATGGGGTTCGTATAACATGTTTCTTTCTGAATAACACTAATTTAGTCCTGGTCTTCATATTTTACGCAGTCGCTTATACATTTCTAGCAGCGTTTTTCGTCGGGATGTTATCCGTTTTTCTTTATGGGTGTCTGAATAACAACGTTCCATCGTTAACAGGGGAACAAAGCATTCTCCGAGGTCGACCAGGTTAGTGAGTGATTTATTAGTATTGTCACATGTTTGAAGCTCACTTACAATCTGACAAGAGTAAAAAATTTTCACTATCTTAAGATTCATACGCTTGTGCTTACATTAAATTTCTTGCAAGGGAAAGTGTGTTCACGCTCCGAGCAAGCATGTATTTCACTACATTCCAATGAAAAGGAACCACATTCTGTTAAACATCCCAAACTTTTACAAAAATCAGCAATAATTGTCCTTACTTTTCTAATATAGTTAGAATTTAGTCTGAAGCGACGTGTGTTTCATCTGAATTACTGTCGCTAACACATCCTTGTGAAAATTCCTTCAGAATTATAAAAGAAATTTTAAGTTCTCGTTGCATTTCTGTATCCACATACTACTAATGATGGTCGTAAAGCGTTGGATGGTCAGTGACAATTTTCTACTCTACTGGTTTCAGTCCCTGCCGGATGGATACATGTGTATATAATCAATATTTTGCATCAATGAAGATAAAAGAAATAGTTGTTGCTACTAACGAGAACACTGGATATATATGTGAAACTTGATATTCACCAAAGGGTCGGCATCCTAACAAGCCCAGATTACATTGCAACTAATACAGTGATTAGTCTACAGCTTTGAGTGTTTTGATCCAGTTTAAAAAACGGCTTGTGTGTTTGCCCTTTAAAAAACTGTTTCTGTTAGGCTGGCTACATTTTTACTTGACCTACTAGTAAACTATTAACTAACTGCTGAACTTCCAGCCATAATCCTGTTAGTGCTCATAATACGGTTATTAATCAATTCTAAAAGTAAAATTCTTTACTCACTCCTTTTTTCATGACATGACCATACAAAGTAAACCGATAGAAAATCTTAAGTGTTAGCATAAAACTAAATGTTAACATGTAGCCGTTAGAATTCCCACATGCCATACCTAAAAGTCGAGTTAAATTTATACTAAGGAGTCACACTCTTATTTATAAAAGAATTTTGTCAGAGAAAATAAACATTCTCAAAAAATCTTGTTATGAAGTCGAATTTCGGCGAACTAGATGAAGTTTATGGCTGTGAGAAGCATAAGTCTGTAAAGGTCTATTTCCTAACGTTTCCACTGTTCTACTAAAACTGATGTTCACCAGGCTTTAATTAGTAGCCTAACTTGTGACTAGATATTAAAGGACTGGATCACTCGTTAGCATATATTTGACAGAATGAAGGTTAAAGTTGTGTTTAGGACAAAGTTTTTGAACTTATCGGGCTAGTAAAGGCTGAGCTAGGACCTGTAAGATAACGTATATTTGGAGAATGAAAACAGCACTTCAGCCTTTCCGTTTGTAGGTTAGTTACAACAAAAATAAAAACGCCCTAAACATTCAGGGACAAACTAGCAGATTGTTTAGTTAACATTTAGCTATTTAATTATTCGTCTTCTTCTCTTAGACGGGGGAATCTTAGGGCTATCAGGGTGCGCCATAGTCAAATACAGTATTATCTATAATATAGGATATGTATAATATATTTATCTTAATTCGTTTATGTGACGTTCCGTGAAGTAAATAATATGGTCACTCGTGTTTGAAATGTTTCAGATGACATCTTTTTCACCAGATTCCTGTAATATAGCGACAAAACAAGCGATTTCTGAACTTTTTATTTACGAAAGTAACTTGAACGATAAGTTATTACCATTTTAAATATTATGGAGACTCATAAATGTCAGTCAACGTAATATGCCTTTAGTGGCTGAAAATGCCTTTTTATTTCAGAATTTTGTGTGTCAAGTAGCAAAATTAAATGAATAATTAACAGTCGTTAATAATTCAAACTTTTTAACAGACTGTAATAAGGATTTTCATTTTTCTGAAATTAAAAAGTTAATTTTGTGAGGAAGTTAATCGTCTATAAATTAAAAATTTCAATAGAATATATTTGTGGAGAGAAAAGCTTGAGAAATAAAATTTTTATTAAGCCCTCTTCTTTAAGGGGATATAAAAAGGAACATTATACTAAAACGGATGGAAGGAGTAAATATTCTTCAGAGTCATGAATCACTATTTTTCTACTACGATTAGGCTAAGTATTTTCATGCTGCTGGTTGATTTAACGATAAATAAAAAAATTATCTATAGCTTAAACAAAACACACTGTATACATATCATTTGAAATACTTAATTATGTGCAGGTAAAATGAACATGGTAGAGGTATAGTGGCAATGAAAATTGTCAAATACTGTATATTCTTTTTCGAATAGTGAACATACTTCAACTGTGTGATAACGATTTGGAAAACTAAGACGTTAGAGTTTTTTGATATAAACTACAAGACTAAGGTGGATCTCCCTAAAGACTGGTATTAATATTAATTATTCTTAGCCAAAGAATCATTTGAAAAGGACTGGGATCATACACGTCTGCATACTCACTTCCTTGGTTATACCTTATATTCTTATTGACACCTATGGTAATGTAACTATTATTTTACGTTACACAACCATCATGTGACATCATGTTTGCTTACAAAATCATTTTCTTGTCCCAGACTCATTTGTTACTATTTTACATTCATTTGTTACCTCAGTTCTGTAAAATGTGCTGTGACCAGGTTGTCTTTATTCAACTGCTGAACTTTGGCAGAAATAAAATGGTGAATATTGGTATAAATTTCTGGTTTAAAATAAAGCCATTTTGAGGAATCTCCTCTCTACTGAGAAATTTTAGTTACAGAAGTAAGTACTACTTAACCCGGAAAGATAATCACTTGGTTGAATGCTGAAATTTAGATTATCAATCAATTAATTTTATCGTCGGTGACTTACACTGTTATTTAACTCAATTTAAGCTGTTTTATAAATTTTTTAAGTATTCCGTACCTCTTAAGTTTGTTCATGTTAGTCTCCATTCTCATTTCAATTAACTTGATAGTGTTTTACATTTCGATTTCACATAGGAATTGAGCTGGCGATTAGACCGAGACCCTATAGCACTTTTATTCAAGTTGCGGGAACCTCATCTCCGATCAATAAAGAATATGTCAGCAAATTTGATCAGTTAGTCAAAAAATATACAAAAACTAGTGCGAACGAGAACTGTAATTCTCCGGGAGAGCATCCAAAAGATCCTAATATCCCATGCAGTTTCAATATTAGTGTTTTAGGAGAGTGTAGTAGCCTTGAAACAGCTTTGAACCAAGGGAAGCTATGCCTGTATATTAAAATGAATCGAGTAAGTATTTATTCTTCTCTTATTTCTGTCCTTATTTCATAACTATATATATATATATATCAGATAACATGAGATGATCTGCTATTACACTAGTGGTAATATTAGTTCAATCCATTTGTCATCCCAAAGTTATTTTATTACTTCCATTACTTCTAACCAATATACAAGTAAATAGATAGCGAATTAATTTACTTCGATGGTCAGGTAGAAATTCTTAATAAGTTTATAAAGGGACAAAACCAGTAAATAATTTTACTGTGTGTCACTCTGTGTACAAAATGGTGTAGTGGAGGAATACTTCAAAATCATGTTGGGTAACAGTTTCTACTGAGATCACAGAGTGAAGTGAGCTGTTTTCACTTCTGCAAGAGTGATTTACTAGCTTCACTTGATGACCTTAAACATGATTTTTTGTTTTGATGGTTGTGCTGAAGTTGACAGAACGCCTTTTCTAATTCAACTATCTAATTGACTTGATCTATGACTTTGAAATGGAGCGTCGGTGGCATAGCGGTTAGGACGCTCGCCGACCATGCACATGGTCCGGGGTTCGATCCCCGGCCGGCGCACTCCTTCACCTCGCTAAACCAGAAATAATGCTGGTGAAGAGGAAAGGTTGGGCATGAGGCTAGCAACCCCATCCCGTAAAATAAACACAGCTAAAGAAACTTCAAGCCACTAGCTTGAAGCCCTATGTTCCACTGGGGAACGTGAAGGAAAAAAAAATGACTTTGAAATAAGTTCACGTATTTTATACCGGTTGACAGACTGAGTTTCGATCAGTACATCTGTTGATTTCGTCTAATATTTTTAAATGTCACTGAAATCATGCTCGGCTAGAATAAAGATACTACATGAAAGCTAGATAACTGAAGTTTACACTGATGAAAACAGGGAATATGAAAACTTAGTATCACGTATTAGTTATTACAGGTGATGTGACCAATTTCGTAGATTGCTCTAGACTTGTTTATTTTAGTCATCACATCTTGTAACAACCTGAACTAGAATGCTTTCAGTAAAAATTGGACAGTTACATTTCATGAAGACTACAATAGGATTAAATGATCCTCTTATTAATAACTTTACACGGACATTTCAATTTTAGTACTGATTTACACTTTAGATATATGGCTGGTTACCTGATATCAAAGATTCGGCAGTCATTCCCTCACCTGCTATTGAATGTGGAGGCGCAGTAAGTAAAATGATATGAATTTTTATTTATGGATACAATATTATAAATGATATAGGGAGTTAACTGCAATTGTATATTATCATTTAAATGATTCATATGTAATTTTCATTTAGTTCTGGTAAGCAAACAATGATAAAACAGAGGTGGGAGAACGAATGTGAAATGTTATGAAAGAAAACAGTGGTTAAAGTCGTTACATGTCACAACAGCAAGATCCGTAAATAAACAGAATTGTGAGGAAAACCAAGTGGTAATCAGCGGAGTCCACCAAGTCAGGCAGGAGGATACTTGCTCGCATATGCGATTGGCTAGCAGCTGAGCTATATATCGTGAACTGGTAGAAGTTGGAATTCATGGATCAATCAATGGATCGGGTCCCAGTGGCTGAGAGGTCTACGAGATCTCTCGCCTTTTAACCGGAATGGCTTGGGTTGAAACCCCAGTGGGTGGGTACTGATGAGGAGTTTCAAACTAGGGCGAAACAGCTGTACAGTACTCCCTGTAGGTTTTCCAATAGTTATCTAATTGATGTCAGCTCGTGATCAATCCTGAAAACAAAGCTTACAAAAACCAAAGACGCACAAAGCTGTAGACATGGCTTTGCTTCCTAATCATAGTAGACACACTGAAAATATTCTAAACAAAAGCAGTCACTGAAGGTATTTCGTGACTGTCTTTACACGTTTGACTTTATTCATCTTTATACTACACAGAAATTTTCCATGTAATGGAACATTAGAAACGTCTCTTCTTCTCATCACTTTCTAAAAGTATAAGTATATAATGAAAAAAGATAGCCAGGAAAAAAGATTCTTGTTGTTGTTCACACTTCAATGGAAGAAATTATTAAATACTAGGTTAGAGTCAAACTATTAACACGAAAAATTAAAAAAAAACGGAAACTTTATAGAGGGTACAGTACATAGTGATATAAAAGTAAAAGAAGACATACGAATGAACAAGGTGTTAATTAGCTGAAGCATATTGTTTATGGTGTAACAACAGAAGGCAAGACACGGAAGCCAAAGTACATTTTTCATTATTCAAACCTCTGTTTATGTATCTACAGTTTATATTCGTTAACCAATTACTGAGCGTGCGATTTCGGCTTACATCAAACGACATGAAATAGAATGTTCAAATATACGTAGTATTCCGTTGTTAATGTAGTATATAACTGTGGGAAAGTATTCTGTCTCTAATATCAAATAGAATGTTCAAATAGATATATCGTACTCTGTTGTTAATGCCGAAATGAACTGTGGGAACATGTGAGAATAACATTCCATCGCCACACATTGTCTGTATCACACCACCACAATAGTACTGACTTTACTGATGGGAAAAGAGCTGGGTAAGAAACTGGGATAATATGAGTGTGTCGTATTAATTTAATTGGTGACAGTTGGTATAAAGGGACGCATAAGATGCAAATTACAGCCTACACTATGAATAATGTGTCATTATTACATTTAGAACTGACTGACTTACTTCATTTCTTCTTCAGCAGTGATATCCATGTAACTGCTCTGTAGTTCACCCAGTCCACCTCTACGGCAGTAAAACATGTTAGCCGAAAGTAGGAAATGTTTAGAGTTTGGAAGCCTTTGGACATAAGTCTCCGCCTTATACCTCTTGTGTCAAGTGGTATAATATGTTAAGTAATAATGAGGTTAGGTGTAGAGCCTTAGGTAAGAAGAAAAATTCAACCGATGAGATTGCGAAATTACTCAGTTTTAGGTGGCTAGGACATGTGTTGCACATATCGAGTCATCTCCTACCTCGACAATCACTGATAGATGATAAAAGGTTGGGCTGGAAAAAGTCAGGTGTGATTAAACCACAACAGGTATTGGTGCATGAAGTATTTGATTGTTGCTTTGAGTTACATACGGAGGCGTAGACTACCTGGTTGGTGTTCTAAAATGCTCAAAAGCAAGAGGTGGAGACGGTCAGTGAGATGACTCATTTATTGATTCTTTATAATCTGCTAGATTCGTTTAGTCCTTTATTATTCCCCATGTAATTTTTTAGCAATTCTGTTCTCTGTCTTAATGTATGCTTATCAGATGTGTGACAGTTTGAACTATTGCCTTTTTGTGCTAAGTTCTACAGTGAAAACTCATTCACAATCAGTCATTACATTCATTTAAATAAAGAAGCATAATACGGTTGTCTAATTTATTAAGGATCAGTATTGACACCATTGGTTGGATCAATCAGCGATAATGTATTTAATGATACAAAATGCTAAAGCAAAATTAAAATCAATTGAAGGATGAATATATACATGTAATTTATTGTATATAACCCTTTGTCATTCGGTCAAATAAAAATAATTTTAAAAAATGAGCTGCCTTCATTTAGAAAAGATTTGTTCCCAGTTTGACCACGGGTTGATATCATTTGGGAAACCACTGAAAACCAGGGAGTATTGGAACGCTGTTTCATCGCAGTTTGGGACTCGTCAGTAGTACACACCCACTCATGAAACAAATCGAATCCCTAAAAACTAACTATCGAAAATTAGTCTGGTGTTAACTGGTGACTGGATTGAAGAAGAAGTTGATTGGAGTTCTAATGAGAAGTAGTGACCAGGGAGGTTCATCCAGTTGGTAGTGAGGACAAATACTCAACAACCACACTGATTGGTAGTCGCCGTTAAATCACAAATTGGTTGAAGTTGGAATTCATGGGTCACTAAGTCATGTCACAGTGGCTGAAGGGGCTATGAGCTTGCCTTGTAACTGGAAGGTCCTGGGGTAGAACCCCGGTGGGTACGTGCTGCCAAGGAGTACCAAACTAGGATGAAATAGCTGTCTAGTACTCCCTGGTTTTCAATAGTTCTCTAACTGATATCAATCAGTGATCACACTCAAAACAAATCAAATCCCTGCAAACTAATTCTTGATAGTTTAAAAAAATTATTAGTCGATCATTGTACATAAAGAATGGATCGTATTTATTCTTAGTAAATGATAAATCTATTTTGACTTTACTTTAGGACAATGTTTTAAAGTAATTAGACACTACTGAATAACATTTCAAAAACTACCATTTTTCACATCCACTTACTGTCTATAAAAAATAAATTAAAAAAACGAAATTGATATGAAAAAAATACTTTAAATTGGTAGAATGCTAAAAATGAAGGACAAAGGTGAAAAGGGAATTAAGAAGAACTATTATTGCATTCAGGATGGAGATGAAGTATGGGTGGTATGATTTTAAGTTTTATCATGCAGAATGCCTCCTAACTTAGAATTTTAGTTGCCATACTGACTATGGATCGTTATGTGATAAAGTCTTTGCTGTACTGTCCAGTTTAGCCACTTAGTATCCTTATAAAACTGAGTGATTAACTCCTAGCAGTAACTGTTTTACTTTTACCACACTATATTTTAACTGTGAAAAGGATGCACTTGTCTTGTCATCTAAAAGAAAATAAGGTTGTATTTTACCGCATTTTAGGTTAAATAATCAAGAAACGTGGAATTATGCTCAACTATAATGCTGAAGTTCTACTGTTATATTCAGTTATAATACATAAAGCACTTATAGTCTTTTACTTAACACTGCTAGTGATATTTAATACTGTTATGAAATAGGGTACTACCAACTTAAACAGTTGGCCTTTAATCTGGCTTTCGATAAGATTTCGTGTAGACAATACACACCAATCTAAGTAGGGGAAAATTCAGCGATGCATTGTCAACAGTGTTGATATATATGAGTTGTGTGAAAGCATACGTTGAGGAGGCCGTGGAATGGCATGGCGCGCCAGGACATCACTCGAGTGGAAACCAAATCGGAAACGACGCGTAGGTCGTCCTAGGGTGACATGGGGGAGATCGTGCGAGGGGAAGATGAGAGATTATCGGCAATCGTGGACCCAGATGAGGAGGACGGCAGAAAATTGAACAAAGTGGAGATGTGTTGTTGAAGCTCTATGTTCCACTTGGAACCCAAGGGAATAATAATAGAATACAATATAAAAGCTTAAATAATCACTTACACTTAAATAGTACTACTAGGCTGATTACATATGAATATGTAATAAATCAAATGTCTTATAGCGACACTTTAACACTAGCCTACTTATTGAACCCCATATTTTGACCAACAAATGCGTGGAAGATTGATCTATACATTATAGAATCTTTTAATTTGAACTATAATAATAAAAATTCATAAGTTTTTGTATACTCTCTTAAATAAGTGAAACATTTTGAAAAGATAACTTCATTATAGATAAGATTTTATTTTGATAAATCACACAGTGTTGTACAGTAATGTTAACTGATGACGTTTCGAGCATAAACTATTGCTCATAATCATATCAAGTATTTTGAAAAGATATACGTTAGGGAATAAACAGATTATTGTAGTGAATCTTTGATTAAAAATAAGACAGCAGGTATTTTTCTTTATTTCGTATATTTTGTGTGAGATGCAATAGAAAGCCATCTTGTTTTTCAACAGATGTATTTCAAGTACAAAGGCTCTGTTTACCTCTATTCGCCAGAAATTGTAGTCCCAATATGTTAATTCATGATGACACCACACAGACTTATTACATGCATAAATGTAACCTGATATATATATATATATCAGATGGTTCCACTAAAAAGACAGATTGCTTTTAAATATTAGTCGTAAAGCTAAATCTGTAACGTTGAGCAACACTGACGAAGAGATAGTTATAGAATCTTTAAATCTTAAATGGACAATTAACAGGAAACCCCAGTTACCAAAAAGTAAAGATTCCTAGAGAAAGAGTTTGGAGAAAAAAAGCTGAATACTTACTGATAGGTCTTCAAATAAAAGCCAGTGTAATTGAATAGTCTACAATACGTTGACTGCAAACTGTTGAACAAGTGTGTCCTTTGGAGAATTCTTAAACAATCAAGTGTTGGTTTGCAGGGATTTGATTGGTTACAGGCTCAGTCACGAGTTGACATGAATTAGAGAACCACTGAAAATCCTGCGAGGAGTATTGTACACCTGTTTCACCTTAGTTTGAGACTGCTCATAGTACACACCTACCGGGGTTCGAACTCAAGGCCTTCTGCTTACAAGGCAAGCTCGTAGACCATTCAGCCACTGGGACCCGACTCAGTGATCCATAAATTCCAACCGCTGCCAGTTCACAATGCATATATATTGCAACCCCCAGCTAATCTCATAGGCAAGTAGCCCATTTCCTATCTGAATTGGTGGACCCCACTGGTCACGATCTCTCACTCTAGAACCCCAGGTAACATTATGTATGGGGTCAGTAAATGTTATGACACCATTGTGTGTTATGGCGCAATGTAATTTTATGTTACATGTGAGAAAAGTAAGTTTGCAGGAAGCCATGAACCTAGACTGCGTGCTCCAAAGCACTCGTCATTATGATTTATCTACAAAGTCAATTAATCAATGCTGTAATAAGCTGTTCCGCCATGATAATAAATTCAAGTACTTTTATTAGGAATCAACTGTCGTTGTTTTGACTGTGATTCAATATAGGCAAGTAAACTGATTAAAAGCAGAAAGTTATCCCATTGAGTTTAATTAACCCATAGGCAACCTTGAAGTTTACAGATTACTGAAAACACACTTGTAAGTGGAAAATCTTTAAAAAGCATATCACTCTACTCTGTAAGGTATTTCGTAAAGTGATAATTTGTTCGACACCACATGTTGTTGTTGCCGTAACTACTGTTTTTATGATTCACAGAAAAAAAAACCTGCTTTACTAGCTTTTTGAGTAATAAAACTATCTGATGTTATTTCTATTTTAGAATGAGTTTGACAGAGAAGCACTTGGGCCAGTCAAATACTTTCCAGAATATTCAGGACCAGATGGTAAAAAATAGTAAGTGGCTTTAAATGATACAAAATGTTTGTTTATTCAGGATAGATAACGAGTAAATTATTTATACTATAGTAACACGGTTAAAGCAATTACTAAAAGTGACTTTATTCAAAATTATTTCTCAAAAACATCTCTTGATGAAAGCAATTTAGAAGTAAATTTTTAGTCTACTAGTAATAAAAATTAAAATTTTTAACTAATTTATTCCTTTGTCTGATAAGTGGAATATGGAGCTTCAAGCCTGAGATTTGAAGTTCCAGTAGCAGTGGTGTTTATTTTAACGTGGTAGAGTTGCTAGCCTCACGCTAAATCTCCCTTCTTTACCAGACTTTCCATCGGCTGAGAGAGGTTTAGGAGTTGGCCGGCTGGGAATTCAACCCCTGATCATTTGTGTGGTTTGCAACTGGCAACGTTAACCAATTGTGGTTGCTGAGAAATGTGGTTTGGAATACTCTCGATGAACCTGGAAGTCTATAACTATGACTCAGACTTTTCATCCAACATGGGGAGTGCGCGACGAAGTAGACTCTTCATCTTCAGCGCTAACACTAACAGGTCTCCGTCATGTCCCAGCTTCGTGGTACGGAACTTGCGCATTGCTAGCTGCCTGTCTGTCGGGTTGTCGAACTCCACCACCAGTCTTTCAACCAATACCTTCCAGGTCCCTTTATCGTCTGACAGCTCCACTCTATCGTACGCTGCCTTTGTCCGACCTATCAGCAGCGTCCATAGCACAGCCGCCTTTGCCGTCGGATCCTTGACGCCCACCAGTTCAGCGACAGCATAGAAGTCCCACAAGAAGCTCCTGATTTCTCCTTCTTCGAAAGCAGATCAGGCCATAGGATATTCACTGTCTGGAGCCAGTAGCACTAACTGTAAAGGAAGAAGACAGGAGATTTGGTAACAGAATTTCTATTTGTTATTCGACATACAAATATAGGATAATTATGTAGATCATATATTAAAATCGTCATCTGCACAGATCTTTGGTGTTGTGCTACTTCAGCTCTTCATATTTTACTTCTTTGTCTTCCTTTGGTGTCTCCCATATTTTGCAGAAATACTGGTTCATTTACTCTCTTTGACGTCAAATATATCTATCTGCTATTTGATATTTGTGTTTAGATGAACGTCTCTTTATATATAAGTGATAAATCTTGCCAGTAGCACACGCCACACTACCAATGAACCACTGATGCACGATAAAGACTGTTATTTAACAATAATACATCCTTCATAGAATCTACTTTCTGAAGCGACATATAGTGTCATTTTGGGGTGTTAATGTATGAGTGAAACTCGATATCAAATATCAAAAAATATTGTAACTTAATCTCAGTATACAATTTATACTAAAATCCGTCAATTGTAATGATCATTTTCGTTCTGTGCTTTGTCATCTTAAACGTTGAACTGGCCTTATCCCATTGAAGCTGGAGATATAATTCAAAGGAAGGGATAATATAACGCGATTCGACTTTTCAATTCTTTGTAAACTTATGATATTTGATCTTTAATAATTAAATTTACACCTTCAGTTCTGTAGTTACTGTGTAAACATACATAAATGTATATGAGTACTCCACTTGTTGAGTAAGAGAACACTGACCAACCACACAAGTGATCTGGAGTTCAATTCTCAACAGACTTATTCTTATACCTCACTTAGTAGGTAGCGAAACCGGTAAAGAGGGGGAGGTTGGGCGTACGGCTAGCAATCATGTCCTGTTAAAAGAAATACCCCCTTCTACTGAAACTTCGAAGCTCATACTTGAAACCCTGTGTGTTCCACTAGGAAGACAAAGGCAAGAAAAATATAAATATATAAACCAGATAACAAAAAGCTGTTCAAATATTTCAGATGGATACACACACACACACACTCAACTAGTTTTTTTAGCATCTATTTTTGAATCGTCCACTGATGATGATGATAATAATACGTTTCACACAAAAACACTCAATATATTGATTCTTAATTTTTATAAGCCAAAACATCCTAGTTTAGATCTTTGAGAATGAAAAGTGAAGATGACTTGGTGTAATTTTAACATATGATCGATATCCAGTGTGAATCAACTTCAGCATATAGTGAATAATACTAATATAATGCAAAGCCGATCTGAGAGTCATATCTTATGTATGCAGTATTTCACCTAATCAATAGGAAGATATCTTTTTAAAATGAAATATACGCGCCTATGAAACAACTAACAATAACTCTGTAACTTATTTTCATTGCTCATTCTTTCTTTTTCTCTTTTTAAATTTTCAGTGGTTTAATATCGAACAATTACTTTCCATACCTGAAATTGGATAATTATCAAGCCCCGTTAGTTGCTGTCCAATTTCCCAATATAACAAGGAATACTGTTGTTATAGTTGAATGCCATTTAGTTGGTTTAAAGAATTCTGATGGAGGTACAAATTTTGAAGTATGTGTAGATGACAAATAGATAATACTACTTGTTTTGTTTTGCTTTTTTTTTTTTTAAAATCCTAATTTCCACAATTGTTTTGTTTGTGTTATATTATGGAAAAAACAAATAAGTAAATAAAATAGCACAACAATTCCGACAAATGTTGAAAATAAAGTGTGTAGTGTCTATTGAGTCTGGTATTCAATAGTTACAATAGTTACAATAACTTTTTAGTATTTCACCTTATTACTACTACTTTGTTGTAATTTACTTACCAGTTAAATAAATAATCAATCATCTATATATTTATTAGTCAATGATGTAATAAATTTTGACCAGAGGCTTTTTTCTTACTTATTTTCGAATTTCACTGGTGCTATCTGATACTGCTTCCACTGTTACTTCTACTACTACAAATTCTAGTATTTCTCTTAATGAGAATATTAATTATAAAGATAATAACAGTTTAGTGAATTGATTCCATTGATGAGACAATTTCCTCAGAAGAACAAAAAGCAACCTCTTTTTTCTTCTCTTCCCTAAGTGAATTCAAAATTAACTTTTTATTTTGTCGAATTCTTATTGTTTGTGTCTTTTTTTCTTCTTTTGTTCTCATGACGTAACTTAAAGGCTGGTAGGAAAACAGGGGAATGTTGACAATAATAATAATCTTATAATAGTACCTTTATATGTACAATTTGTGTATTTCTTCAGTTGTTTATCTATTGATATTTGCATATTTCTATCTTTAATAATTGAATATTTATAATTTATTACTAGATTTAATGTATTTCTTTATACTTGTTGTATGATTCAGTGTTGTGTTGTATTGTACTGCCTTGTGTTCGAACTAGCCGCCTTGCTATCTTAGCTAATAAATGAACACTAACTAATCAACCAGTAAAACAACCACCGACGCACTAAATAGTCAGTATGATCAAATGTAATTACACTATCCGTTTGTTTGTTTGTTTGTTATTTTTCCTTCTAAATAACAAATAACCTTATATATTGTTTATTAATTAATTAAAATATTACTTATCACTTTTATGATGATTATAAGTAATATGTTCATGAATATAATTTTGTTGAGAAATCCTCATCGAATGATGATTGGGTTGTGTATACACTTTAATAACAGACACAAGTGTATATATGCTGCATTTTTGCATCTGTGCGTATGTGTTTGTGTGTGTGAGAGACAGAGAGCAAGTGCGTTTGTTTACCTATAATTATAAATAATGACTGACTGACTGGCTGAAATATCTCCAAACGAAAAATGAAGATTTTCAACATTTGGTACTATATTAAAATATCCTGACTTTAAATTTAATGTGTAAAACAAAATTTGCACACTAATTTTTTGTATGTTTGGTTGGTTGGTTGGTTGACTGTTCTATTGAAATATCTATTGATTAGTTAGTAAAAACGTATCAAATTTGATAAGACATTTGAAAAATACTCTAAACTGAATAATAGTAGAGTTTTTATTGTCTATTTCATAATAAAGGTTTGTGTAATGTATGAGTTTTTCAAACTGTATATTTATACTGTTTGAGGTTACATGTGATAAGGCTGAATTAATCATACTATAGTGGATAAGGGGAACAGTTGTTATTATGTTTATAGTATCATATACTGTCATACAGTATAGTATGAAAAACTGTAAATTTTAAGGTAAATTAATAGTGATTAGAAAGTTGAAATGTGTATTATACTGACTTGGTTGCTGATAATATTTCAACTGTAGTTTCTCTTAACCACGGCCGGCATACATTAAGTGTTTCAGTGGAAAGTAATGAATACAATCTCTAACTAGTAAATAATTCAACATATTACTTATTATTACTATTATTGTTCTATTTGGTTCCAAGTGGACCAAATGGTTTCAGCAGCACTCTATTCTCTGAAGTCTTTTTCAGCTGGCTTCGATATTCCCCATAAGCTTTCATCTTCTCTACACATGGTCTCCTACACCCAACTCGTCATTTCCTATTTAGGTTCCACTAGTAGGCTTGGTGAGTGGTCACTCAGCGACCTCTTCGGCGTGTTCAGTCTATCTTTATTTCCTTCCATATATATGCTGTGGCATAGGTTGTTGTTTGGTTCTTCTCCTTGTTGCTAATCCTTTCCAATAGATCATCTGATCTTCATTATTCAGCAAAGGCAGCTAGCTGTTGATGAAATTCTGCAGTAGGTTATTGTTATTCACGAAGCATCAAGTCTATTAACCATAAAGAAGCACTGATCCGACATTAGTGTTGAAGGTCCTGATCTTGTTCTTACTTACTAGTTATTGTATTAGCTGCTTAACTGTAAGTAAAATTAAATCTTACTAACTACTGCAGCTGTCATTATTAGGAATTTTAGTTACGGCACATCAGTGCTAAGATATTTATCTGATGAAGTATGATCTAGAGTAAACCGATTGGTTAGTAGCTATATATATATATATATATATATATATGATGGTTAGCTCTCTGGACTCACTCCAGCAACCCTAGTTAGAGTGCCAGCGAAGCCTCGAGCTATGCGTCGGTGGTTCGACGGTAGAACACTAACCAACCATTCACGTGTTCCGGGACTCGATATTCGGCCGACAAACTCTCAGACCTCATTAAACCGATAGTAAGGCCGGTAAAGAGAGAAGGTTGAGCGTGAGGCTAGCAACCACACCCCATAAAAATAAAACTGCTGCTACCAAAACTTCAAAGTTCTAGCTTGAGGCCTTACGTTTCCACTAGGGGGCGCGAAGTAATAAAATAAAAAATGATGTATAAATATGTATATATATTATTGCATGGATGTTAGTGACGAAGTTATTTTCTAAGTAGCTGACAAACTGACATTTTTATTTATTTTTTCCATTCATTTTATTTTCCATTCTCTATATGTGTTGAGGTTATTTTTTTCTCTCAGTGACTGATTTTAGCCAAAGAAATGTTAAATACCGAGGTGCATTGCTACTCATTGTGCACTCACAATTTTAAATCGATTAAAATCCTAAAATAAAATGGAACATCTGTCTAGTGATCTTGATTTTTAGTTTGTTAAAAAAAACTGTATCGTGAAATCCACTGACTACTTGAATAAATAAGAAGTCAATTGGCTTTATTAGTAAATGTGTCTCATTAATTCTATGAATAGGAAAAAGATTGTTTTTCATCATTATCCCACGCTGTATATGAGAAGTATGAAAAACAGTAATAAGCGGTTATGTTGACTTCTACTGATACTTCCTATCAGCGATTCACTGAAAGTGGGATATAGTTGGGATTATGGAGATGCATTGTCTTGCATTCCGAGCAGAAGATGGGGTTTCTAACTTGAGCTTTGAAGTCTCAGTAACGGTGGTGTTTCTACGGGGTGAAGTTGTTAGCCTCACTCCTAGGCTTTCCTCTTTTCTGTGATTGCTACTAATTAGGTGAGGCTTTGGAGTGATTTGGTCAGGAACTTAACCTGAACCACTTGGATAGCTGGAAAGTAATCTACCCCTGAACCACCGACACACCAGCTCAGGTTGTAGACAAATGAATTAACGTGGAATTTGAGCAAAAATATATAACTTCGAGTTGTCCAACTCTGAAAAGACATACTAAACAGAAGTATTACAACACTAAAATAAAAAATAATATTATGCTAAATAGGATGATAAGAAATAAATATATACGAAAAAAGATGTGTAAATTTAAATCAATTGATCCAAAGTCTCTAACGACGAACTTTTAACATCCTGACGACACAAGCCATGAGACTACAACCTTTCCTTCTCTGTAAATACCAAAGTTTAATGACTGCATGGATACATATTTTTTTATCAGATCATCCAAAAAGCAAATTTAACCTAGTCCTACTTCAGGTAATATCGCTGGTGAGCAAGACGATGAGTGAGTCTAGACAAAACATGTCCAAATCAATTCAGACGATGAAAACTAATTCCCCTTCCGATTAACTTGCCTTCCATGCTAAACAATAAGTCCTACTCCAAACTCATTTCGATGATGTTTCGCTCAATCTAAAAGATATATAATTAAAATCTCTTGCTTTTTATGCCTTATACGTTCAGCTGCTCTATATTTTAATCATAACTTTGAGGAGAGCGAACTAGTCTGCAACAGATTCGCTTTCTGATTAGTTGCCGTTGATTTTTCAGACTGAAATTTACTGAATTTCAGTAGGAGTAAATCTACTTAATAAGTGATGAATGACAGTGAAATGAAAATCTAGATAATGGCAATACTCGAACCACAGGCCTTCAGATTACCAGTTCGACACCCTGTCAGCTGAGCTAATAAACCTTACTGCTCCAGTCAGTTCATCACTTCACTGAAATCACTACTACCAGCTGCCGTGTGAATGAAACATACGTACCCATCCGTTTATTATCATCATCACACAAACTCCCTGGATAAGTTTTCTTCTGTCAATCCTAATGACTTTGAATTAGTAGAAGAGGGCAAAATTGTTGATGAGACTACCTAAATTAGTATCCGGTTGGTAGACTGGGGAGCGGATGTGTCGATAAACAAACAGGAACATATGATTCATTCACACGGCACCTGGACATTACCTGAGATGACTTTAGTGAAATGACGTTCTGGTTGTCAGTCTGATCTCGCAAGCTCAGCTGGCAAACCATTAGACTAGTAATGCCATCCCTTTCATGAACTATAAAATCGAAACATTTATTTCCAGCTAGTAAGAAAGTTTCAACATCTGTCTTCATTGGCTCCATAGTGAAGATCATATAACCGGTCAGAAAGAATTAGCAACAATAAACTCTGGCTGGGAAGAAACCAACCAAGAACCGATGGCTCAACAAATATGTAGGAGAAAATGGAGATGTATAGAGTGTACACTGAGGAGGTCATTGAGTGACATCGCACACCAGGCCATTGCTCCAGTGGAATCCAAATGGGAAACGATGAGTTGGGCATCTGATGGTGACATGCATTAGATTGTGCGAGGAGGAGATGAGAGACTATGGGCAATCATGGACTCAGCTAAAGAGGACAGCGGAAAGTAGAACAAAGCGGAGATGTGTTGTTGAAGCTGTTTGTTCCCTTTGGAAACCAAGGGAATAATACTAATACAAACTGAATAAACATAAAGAAAGAATAATTATCGGCAAAGTATGAGAGCAGATTATCATACTTTAGCGTAGAAGGATTACGATAATAAGAACTGGAGGGGTTGAACAAACTTTTCAGTATACAAAGATCTGACTTTCCTATTTCGCTGTCCAAAGATCCAGCGATACAGATGAGTCAGATAAGTAGTGATTTGGGTTAAGTTTATATTCCTCCTTGTAGATAAATATTAAAGGATGAGGTTGTAGAGTCAATTATTCTCAGTTCTAATGTGCAACACATTACTTAATAGGCGTATCAAATATCTGGACAATATCATTAAATAATTATTAAGGTTAGTAGTTTATG